TATCTTTGAGAAATTTGGATGGGCTGTTACTGAGAATGTCTTTGGAACTATTTGGACTTTATGTTTTGACATATGTGGGTTGATTCCATAAATTATGCAAAATATTGTAACTGTAAATCATGTATGCATTGGTTCTTTACAATATCCTTTGTGACCTGTATCAATGTCTTTTATTTAAGCTCTGGTACTTTCTTAAGACATGATTGAGTTATTTTTCCAGTTTTCATGGATGTCTAGAAAGTGTATTCTTATTCCTGCACATAAATAATTGGCTTGATTTTACGTTGGTTTACGGAGTAAGGATTATATAGGGTAAAAACTAAAAAGGATAACAATTTGTATATCTTTGCAGGAGGAGCTAAAGAGTAACACGATAAAAATGGCCGAACAGAGTAAGGTCCTAAATACCCCTGGTGCTGAAAAACAGACAAAGAGAGAGTTGTTTGATGCACTTCGGCAGGAGCTCGAGTGAGTGGTTTTTTGATATGCACTCAAATTCTACTATTATTATGCCTATTAAAAAGGTGTTCTTAAGTTATTTGGTTGTCTTAGAGCTATTCTACTATAGGTTTTGTTATTTGATGGCGCGTTTTCGGTTTTTCTCCTTGGCTTAATTAACTTATTGCATGATAATGCAATGATGACTTGCTAGCACTGGTGACCAGTGCTCTCTTGTGCTACTGATTTTTTTTTTCTTTTTTTCTTTTATTTTTCTCGTAATTTGAGGTTTAGATTAATCTCAAAAGGACCCCTTGTGTTTCCAAATTACGAATTTTCTTATATATTAATTTTATTTACAAATTTCTCTTGCATTAAGGTGCAAGCTGTAAGATGAGATGTACGCTAACTTGTAAGTTTATATGACAAAAATGGCAAGGTATTTTTGAAATAACTGGCGTGTATATTTACGTTGAAGCATATTTAGAGTGACATCTCCCATTTATTTTTATTTTCTTTTTTAAATGCGATCGATAAATATATTTGCAGAACCCCTGTACTTGAGAAAGCTTCTAAATCTGTCTGGGAGCTAATTTTAGATCAAAACGGTTTGGGGAAGGAGATTAGTGACACAGTTGAGCGAGTTTTTTGTCAGCTAAGTGGCCGTGAGCCTCCATTGTTTCCTGAGTTGATCAGTAAACCCCAGGCAGAAAAAGAAAAAGATGGTGTCGGGCCTTTGACTTCAGCCAAGAAAAGAAGCTTTCATGACATGAGCAAAGATGAAACAGACAGAGTCGAACAAGAACCTGCCACTATGTCGGCTGTGCCCGATAATGTTACCACGACAGGGCTGTCACCTAAGCCCCAAAAGTAGAATGTGCCAGAGTACTTCCTGTTGCAAGTGTTGTTTGATATATACAAGTTATAGTGTCGTAAATTGTTTTTTGTTGTGATTTTTCCCTCGTTGTTTTATCATTTACGACTGGCCTGGAATTGTTATTGCTCAAAGGGTTTAGTGATGGGTATGGTTGGTAATATTTACTTGGATTGATTTGAACGGAGTGAACGAGAGTTTCTGTAAGGTGATATCGAGTTTTGCAGTTTTGAAAATCGATTCATACTCACGTTCATGAGGCATAAAATCTTTCATGAACTTGTGTCCTCTGAACTGGTTTTTTCCAGGTGATTTCACAATAATCTGCATTATATTTGTATTGAGCAAATGGAAAGTGAAACTCTTGAACTCGTGTGACCTTTGTCATAAAGGTTGTTAAAAACATAATGAGTGCATAGCTCGTGCGATTCATGAGACACATTTATTAAATGAGTCATTTTCATAGGGCTTATACTTTTAGACACAAAAAAAATAAGGTTGGATCATCTATTTTCTACCTCTTTTAATCAGTGATGTTTGTTTTGGCTAGAAACATGCTAATTAATATATTATTTCGCTAACATGTTATACTAATATAAATTTGATTTTAGAATATATATTTATTCATTGATATATGAAAAAAATAATAATTTTACTTATTCTTGTTCACCATTTAATACTCAATTAATATTTTACTAGTACAATACCCGTGTATTACATGAGTTTTGAATTAGAAAGCTTTTGTAAAAGATATTAAATTTTTTATTTTTTTAAAAACTAAAATAATTTAATTTTATATAAAATATTACTTTGGGTTTTAATTAAATTGGCAAATTATATTTTTTTAATCACAATAATTAAACACCCGTACCTTAAATGAAAATGTCAACCGGTGTTGAAATTTTTTACTTATATTATATAAAAATATCGGCATTATTTACTATTGCATAAGTACAAAAATATATATCTTAAGTAAATAGAAATATTATGGTGATATGTATATGCATAAGTGTAGAAAATGTTTATTTAATATTAAGCAAAATAGATTAATTTTTTTTATTTAATTAGATGCCTAATACATCAAGTGTCGTATCAGTCGTGCTTCACAGTTTTTTAACTTTATATTTAATTTTGTAATTTATATAATATTATTTATTTTTATTACATTGACAACATATAAATTAGATTTGAAATAAATATCATTTTTAAACGAATACATACGAATATCTATTACTTTATAATATAATTTATAGTTTTATTTGATATAATTTATTAGTTTGATAGTTGTGCTTCACAGTTTTTTAACTTTATATTTAATTTTAGAATTTATATAATAACTATTTATTTTTATTACATTGACAACATATAAATTAGATTTGAAATAAATATCATTTTTAAACGAATACATACTAATTTCTATTAATTTATAATATAATTTATAGTTTTATTTGATATAATTTATTAGTTTGATAAATAAATTTAAATTTTACTTATAAAGATATATATTACTGTTTTGTATATATTCATAGATAAAAGTATTTTATATCCTTATTAGTAATATATTACTAATAGGCCTAATTCATAGATAAAAATATTTCATATATATATAATAAATAGTAAAATACAAATGGTCATAATATTAATTCAAATGCAACACACTAATTAAGATTTTATTTCTCTTGACAATATTAACCCTATTTAATGGATGTTATGGGAAACGATGAAGATGAGATATGAAGAGACACTGTGTATTAGATGGAGGGTTAAAAATAGAAAAATATGAACAAACGACATTTATTTTATCAATGATCAATTAAGCCAAAGCGACAAATAATAAAAATAGGATGGAGTATATATTATTATATATTTTAGTACGACACATGTTATTCGTGCGACTTATATGTGTTATATTATAATAAATTTTCTACCGTATAACATATAACTACATTAAACATAAATATATTAATTGATAAGTAATTTTATTTTCTAATTAATAAATAATTTATTATTATTGTACAGATAAATATAATTTATTTATTTTATATATACAATATGGATGTCAAATTGAAGCTCGTCAAAAGATGATTAATTTGATATATTATATATGTAAAACCGACAAGAAATACAAAAGCTATCAACTTTAAAATATATTTGCAATTCAATGGTTATAATAGGAAATGATATTAAAATACAATTAATACACATATTAATTTATATCCAAGTCTAACTCCAAAGCATGATTTTTTGCCAAATAAGATTCCGAAGCATGAGAATTTGTCACGTAGGCTCAACGCATTCTGAAATTATATATATAGGAGATTATAAATTTCGTTGACATATAATGTCATGATTATTATTTACAAAAGTTGCAGAAGTAGTTTTTTTCTTCTTAATTTATGAAATGAAATTTAAGATAAAATTTTGTGTATAAATGTTTACAAAATACATACACATGTTTTTCAGAATTTAATTTTCTCATAATAATTTAAAAAAAAAAAAAATTGATTTTGTAATTGTCAAATACAAATCCCTTAAATAATCAGGAGATTTTCTAATTTTCATCTTAAGGCTTTATAGTTTATTTAACATACTATGCAATAGAAATATATTTTACAATAAATTCATTATGGAGACAAAAGAAAAAAAATGATAAAAAATTATCATGTTTGGCAATAATATACAAACTAGTACGACACTCGTGTATTACACGGGTTGTTTGAAAAAAAAATATAAAACATAAAATAATAGAAAAAACATATGTTGTCGCATAAAAGTGCACAAATAAAAAATACCAAAGTCGATATTATTTCAAATTTTGAAAAATTTCTTTGTACACTACATTAATAGTTTTATTTACAATTTTTCCATCATTATAGCAACACATAATTTTCATGCCTCTCCTACTTTTAACTCTAGATAATGCAACATAAAGTTGACCATGACTGAATACAGGATTAGGCAAGTACAATCCGACGTTAGACAATGTCTGTCCTTGACTCTTATTAATACTCATTGCAAAACAAACCATAAGTGGGAATTGTCTTCGTTGAAACTTGAAAGTCAATCTCACATTAGAAGGAGTCAATAACATCCGGGGAATAAGTACTTTGCTCCCAATATTCCTTCCCAATAGAACCTTAGCCTCAACAATGCGATCTCCAAGTCGAGTGATGACTAACCTGGTGTCATTACACAACCCATAAAATAAATAATGATTATTTATTAAAGTTATCAGTTTTTTTTTTTTTCTAATTAAAAAGTAAAAACATTACAATACTGACAGATAATAAATTAGTTAAGATTTAGAAATGTATAAATACCAAAAAAATAAAAGAATGGTCGAGTGATCACTCACCTGGTACCATTACACAACCCAGAAGATTGATCCATGTTTCGAAGCAACATTACAAGAATACCAGCTTTCAATTTTAAGATGTGATTAGGAACTCTAGAGCATTTTATTGCATTTAAAAAATCAGTTGCGTACACTGAATGCCGTTTTGTCGCCTTTCATCTATAAAAGACTTTCTGAACTTTCTTGCTTGATTGGATGGAGTGTCTGACATCGAATATATGAAAAAAAATCAAAGAAATATATACTGTTTGCATTTTACATAAATAAAATATTATCCTTTAATCTAATAATTAATTTATAATTATGTAAGTTGCATATATTATATATAATACAAAATTTAAAAGTAAGTCCCATAAAATATACTCACCCGAAACAATAGTTTCAATGCCTGCAGGAGATAGTCCACGCTTTTCTTTCATTTTCGCCATTCTAATGTATCTAATAAGTTTTGCATTTTCTTTATCCATTATTTGAATACCTACAAGATGCAAGAACAAGGTGAATTTTATTATAAATGTTTAAACAACCTATTATCGACAAGATTGTATATGATCTCACTTTTAAAAAGAGGTTGTACGGTTTAACCCTCCAAACCACTCTTTTCAATACATATTTAACATAACAGCTCGAGCCCTTTATTAATAATAATAAAAAAAGATGTTTCTAATGAATTACCTTTTGTTTATAAATATATTAATTAATAAATAATTTTATTTTTCTAATTAATACTAAAAAAATTATTATTGTTATAAAGATAAATAAAATTTATTTTTTTATACATACAAAATGGATGTTAAATCGAAGCTCATCAAGAGATGATTAATTTTTGATATATTATATATGTAAAACTGATAAAAAATATAAAAGTTATTAACTTTGGCAAAGATTAAACAAAAATATGTTATAATATTAAGTAAAAAATTCTATTTACACGGCATATAAGAAAAAAACATTTGATTGGTATAAGATTCTTAACCGTGTAATTTTTGTGGTTCTATATTGATAGTTTCACACTGATTTTGGCAAAGATTAAGCAAAAATATATTATAATGTTAAGCAAAAAATCCTATTTACACGGCATGTAAGAAAAAAACATTTGATTTTGGAGTTGGAGGGAATCGGATTAATAAAAAATCCTATTTAGTAAGTAATTTATTTTAAATAATTAGGGAATGGAGGGGATTGGATTAAGTCAAAATATATTATAATATTGGCATAGGATTCTTAACCCGTGTAATTTTTGTGGTTCAATATGGATAGTTTTACACCGATTTTGGCAAAGATTAAGCAAAAATTTATTATAATATTAAGCAAAAAATTCTATTTACGCATATAAGAATCTAATTTATTTTGGAGTTGAAGGGGATCAGATTAAGCAAAAATAATTTTTATCCGAACCAAAAGGCGAAGCATGTAACGTTGCCAAGTAAGCTTCCGAAGCGTGTGAGCCAACCATTTAGGCTCAATACGATTTAAAATTATATTAAGGAGGATAAATTATATGTTGAAATTTTATAAAATAATTAATATATTTTAATTTATATTATCTATCCATTAGTAAAATTATTTAATGATGTGATCATTATCTCTTACATGATAAATAATTTTAATTTGATTTTTCTATATTATTAAATAAAGGTTAAAAAATATTATCGGCGAATATTAATTCACCAATTTGATTTCTCCTAATTAGTTAGACGGAGAAAATTATTTAACATGTTACAATTGTTTATAACTATTTAGGATAAAAATCAATATTTGTGAAAAAAAATTACAATATGGTTAAGACCTAAAATTTGTTTCCATGTTTATGTTGAACAAAATATTATCAACATGAATCACGAAAAATTAAATTATAGTTTATTATAATGGATATAAATAAAATTATTGTAGATGTAATAAAACTATTTAAGGAAAGAATTTTTTTTACCATATCTATTTGGAAATATGTACATGCAATCAATTAATGCATATATTTAAAAAGTTTCCAAATAACTAGTGCGTACCCCGTGCGATACATGGATAAACAATATTAAATAACAATTATAAATGGGTTTCGAGTTCGAGTCACGTAA